ATAAAAGTCAGTTAGTTTAACGAACTTCTGCGCTTGCCCTTTAGATCATAATGGAAGAATAATGTTAACTTCTTTCTCTTCTGGTAATAGAAAATAAATACTGTTCAGTGGTATTTTATGTGAGGTGTAATCTGTATGCTAGCTAGCGAGGACAGGTTCTTTCCTAGAAATAACTTCTGACAGTTGCCAAAAAGGTTTCTCTCCATAGATTTGTCTTTAAGGCACAGACCTTCCTCCTCTCTCCACAGCCTCTTGTCTTCTGAATGTTCCTTTGTAGTGTCCCTGGAGATGTTTTTTTTTTGCCTGACTTTGTTGCCCTTGGTACTCTTTGTCGGAGTCCCATACCTGTTTTTCTGTTTGAAGTCATATTCCTTCTAGATTGAGATGTAGTGTGCATATGGTAGACTGTCACCACCTCTTCTTGGAAGCATTTTCCGTGGTCTGTGTGAGTGCTTCATTGGTCTTGAAGAACAACACCTGTGTAACACTATGTTTATAGTGTGGGATCACTGGCAGGTTGTGAGGTCCCTGGGACCAGGCACTTTGCTGTAAGGGTATTGCTAAGATAAGACATTGTGACCAAGGCAACTTATAAAAGAAAGCATTATTTGGGAGTTACAGTTTCAAGGGGCTAGTCCTTGACTATTATGGTGGGGAGCTTGGCAGCAGGCAGGCATGGCACTGGAGCAGTAGCTGCCAGCTCACATTGTGAGACACAACCACAAGGCAGAGAGAGAAGAGAACTAACTGGGAATGGTGTGGGCTTTTGAAACCTCAATGCCCACCCCCAGTGACACACCTCCTCCAACAAGGCCACACCTCCTAGTCCTTCCCAAACAGTTCCACCAACTAGGGACCAAGCATTCAAACATATGAGTCCATGGGGGCCGTTCTCCTTCAAACTGCCACAGGTTGGGAGCTGAGGGTGGTCCTTCATTGTTAAGTTGATAGCACACGGTGGTTTGGATCCGTTATTCACTTAGAGCTGCTTGTGAGGATTTAATGTGTTGAGCTTGAGGCAGGCCTGATTAGGTAGGTGTTCGTTAAGTCTAAATCGACTCACTGAATTAGTTTAAGTCAGTGTTTTCCTAACTGCTAACTAAACTACATTGAGATGAAATAGTACTTTCTCTGCAGAGTTGGAAGAATGAAAAGGGTTAGATGTGTTTGAGTGATAGTAACAATGATGCCTTTCAAATATACATTCCATTTGAAATATTTCAAAGGGTGCTCCCTTCAAAATCTTATTTGATTCTGTCAGCAGAGCTAGGAGGTATTGTTCCAATTTTAAAGACTGGGAGCTTCAATTTACCAAAACCTTAGCCCTAAATCATAGAAGTCATTTTATTTAGTCATTTATTTACTTACGTATGCAGGCATTTATGCCTTTGAAATTCACAGTGTTAAAAATTGAAAAGTTTTGAAAGGCTGCGCGGGGTAAGATCTCATCCCCTCGCGTGTTCCCAGTCACTCGGTTGTCTTCCATCATTGTAATTGGTTTTTGTTTCATCTTCCAGGGGTGTTTCATGCATGTGCAAGCGGATCCATGCACACACTCGTTTTCTTTCATAGAGTTGTGGTGATACATTGTAGCCCATCTGTACCTCACTTGGAAATTGCATTCTAATATCTACATTACATCTATTTAGGGGACTCCTGTGTATCTGGGTATAAAAGAAAATATTGCCAGCATTGTAGTGTCAATCACCAGGGAATAAAAGGGCAATAGTGTTAGTGTAAAGCTTGCAAAGCAAGAACCGCCAAGAGCCTCCGACTCAGCCTGGTTTTGGCTTTGTGGAGTTTACAGCATTGCTTCTTAGGACATTGAAGAAGTTGGAGTTATTGTTGAAGCGCTCTTCAGCTGAGATATCTGACAGGATTCAAGTTTAAAAAATAAAAAAAAAAAAAGATGTATTTAACTTTATGTGTATAAGTGTTTGCCTGAATATATGTATGTGTACCGTGTGTGCCTCATGCCAGTGGAGAACAGAAAAGGGCATCAGATTCCCTGGAACTAGAGTTATAGACAGTTGTGAGCCACCATGTAAATGATGGGAACCTAACCTGGATCCTCTTAAAGAGCAGCCAGTGTTCTTAACTGCTGAGCCATTTCTTTAGACCCTCTGACAGGATTCTCATGTGTGGATGAATAACTCTGTCTCTGTCTCTGCCTCTCTCCCCCCTCCCTCCCTCCCTCCCTCCATCCCTCCCT